ATGTTTACAATGTTTCTTTCATCCAGTCCAAAACCCATTTGCCTCTCCACATCTTCCGTCTCATTTGCCCATCTCTGGCAAATAAAAATGTGGACGGAAGCGTCCGGCACCACACAAATAGTACAGTCTGCCGATGCAGATTTGCCTATTCTATTTGTGAAGGTGCCAAAACTACCATGTCTGATCAGAAACTGCGTCAGGAAATAGTCTATTTTTCTGAACTTACATTTCCACCATGGTCTCAGATCGGTAAGAAGCTCCTTCGTGCACATTGCCTTTTTACTATCATTCAGCAGTTCTCTCTGTCACTCTACCAACTTTCTTTCTTTCTTATTCTCATCTATATTTACATCCATCCTCCTCGCATATATCCTCGTTCGCTCTTTACACAATAAAACGATCGGTATCACCGCCCCAATAACATATAGAGCCTCATTTGAAACTGTCCTATATGCGCTAGATACCCTAAGGAGCATTCGTCTTTGCGAAGTCTCCATCAGCTTAGCGTATTTAGCATTGTTTGGTACACTACACCACATATGGTGATGCTTCCTGGGCCTACAAGTTTGGCATCAGCCGTCTACAGATTTCGGTTTGCCTTCTTTACTGTCTTTTGGATATATACACCGAACCTTAGACCTTCCAACAACCAGACTCCCAGATACTTAGTTGATTTAACCGGTGTAACCTCCATACCTTCCACTGCAAAACGAAGAAAGCATTTTCCGGGGTCCCCTTAAGAAATAACTTTTGAGTTATCTGAAGCGCTAGTTGTAGATCGTTCTCTCTGATCCACCTACTAATGCGACGCAGGGCTGTGTTAGCCGCATTAGCCATGTCCGTTTTTTGACTCGCCTTCGTAACCAGTGTGATATCATTGGCATGAGCTACAAGAGTGCATCCCCTTGGCATCTGTAGCCTCAGCACTCCGTCATATAGGACATTTTACAGGATGGGACCTAGTACTGAACCCTGCGGAACACCCTGCGACAAACTGATGCTAGTATATTTTTCTCTTGTGGACCTATTAGGAAAGTATGTGTCAATTACATTGACCAGATACGCACTAATCGCTCAAATCTCTCAGGCTGGACATGATTTTTTCTATGATGCCGTATTAAAGGCATTCTTGACGTCGAGCAGAATGAGAGCCATCATGTCTTTGTATCCTGCGTGGCTAAAGAGGGTACTTCTGTGACCAGCATCTATGGTGGACCTTTTGGCCCTAAAACCATATTGGCAGTCGCTCAGCCCATTCTTTTTTAGCTCTCCAACTGCTGTTGTTTAAGCAGTTTATTTACCAATCTCAAAAAAACTGCGGGTTTTTTAGTGCGGCGAGTCTTACTGTCTCAGCCTAACTCCATATATGCGAGGTTCGGATCTGCATCCATCCAACAGCCTCGCCGAGTTCCAACTCAGTGAAAGGTTTCGCATCTACAAAACCAATAACCCTTTTACGACTATCCTCTACCTGAGAAAAGAGTTCCCGTATTAAATGCAGGTTCTCCTCCTCAGCCAGGGAGTATGGTGTCTTTTTGCCCTTTAATTCGTTACAGGCAATCTTAAAGCCCTGCCCCCAGATATCCCTTTTCGAGATCCTGAAGCAGGTTACTCCAGCTTCTTTCTTAGATCTTCTTGTCTTATTGCTATATTCATTCTGCATTTGCTTTAATGAATTTATTCTTTCTTTCAAATCTACTGCTTGTACTCTTCTTAAACGACTACATTGCCTTCTTACTCTCATGCAGTTTGTCCTCGGATTTTCAAGTTGCTCGTTCCACCAGTATGGTTGTTTTCTTTTATACCCGCCATTTGAACCTACACAAGCCAACTCCTGTGTATCACTTAGACCATCAATTAACTCTACTCACATCCCGGACCAATTAAGCCAAAAAACATCTACAAATACCTCCTCTTTTAAACATCTCTTAGATTGATATCCCCATTTTTACGTTTCTGTCTTTTGCTATCTATTGCAAAACTCACATACTTGTGTAAGCTGAGCGATTCTTCTTCCAAATCAGTCCCGCTTACGATCCTGTTTAGAAATGTCGTTGAAGCCAGTGTGATGTCCAGAAAGATGCAGTATTACCTCTCACGAATGCAGGTGCCTTACTGTCATTTAACACGGTAAACTCCATGGCGTGGATTTATTTTGATAGGTATTTCCCTCTCCCATCTTGGACTCGTGGGTTTCCATGGACGATCCTTCGCATTCAAGTCACCAGCTATGACGACCGGTACAGTCTTCAGCCTGGCCTCTTGCATAATCAAGTCAATGTACTCTTCATATACTCGAAGCGGGATATTTGGTGAATCATAGCAATTATATACTACCAGGTTTCCGTCATATACCTTAACATAACCATTTTTAACGGAGTGCCTGGTAATGCCAGCTCCTCGATTCACCACGTATTCGGCCCCGTCAGATTTCCTATCTTTAATGATCCCCTGTCGAGAGACCAACTTTACGTTGGGCTCCTGAAATAGGATCATGTCACAACTTTCCTTTCGTGCAACTGGATTTGCAACGTCGTGAGTAGCCCTCGACCTTCCCACATTTATTTATCGAAATATCATAATAAATGGGACTTATCTCTTTAACTTACTTACACGTACGTTGTCTGATTCCTGGTGCTAACTGCTTTCATCCACTCTTTTCTCCTTCCTTCCGATAGGGTATCTCTTGACCTTCCGTTTTTCCAGGATCAGTTTTCTATACTCCAAGCATCGTAAGCTGTCGGCTTTGTGCCCGGATTCTTGTGAGGCAAAAATCCTCCTGATTACTTCATTCTCGTGCCTGAACACCCTCTTTGCCACATTTGTAGTAGCAGTTTACTCTGTTTTCACTCTTGCATCCATTTTTGTTATGCCCGAACTGCACGCATCTTAAGCACCGCTCAATATGCAGTCTCGAATCTTGCACGAGTTCCAGCCGATGAGTATGTGTTCTTTTTCCAGTGCTTTCTTGGCTGCGATCCGCATCAGTCCGACCATGACGTTTGTGTTTCCTTCTCTACTTTCCCTTATAGAAACGAGTTTGACAAATATATCCACCTGAACCTTATAACCCCGGACGTTTTCTACCGTGTTTGCTTCGGGCCACAATAGTCTTCTTCAGGCGCTTGGCTTTTTCTTTCCCTGCTACCTCAAGGATGAGGTCTCCGCCCCTGGTCTTTTTAGCGCTTTTGACACTAATTTTCTCCTTCTTCGTATCTACGTTACCTTTTATTTGTTTCAGCAACTTTGTGTAAGATTTTCCGGCTCCTTTCATGATAACCTTCTGCGTTCTCGCCCTATTTTCTTCTTGTTTATACTACCGCAGAACGAGGTAGAGTTCCATACATCTAAAGGTGACTTCAAGGAGCTTTCTGATTTTCCTACCTCTGTAGCCGCCCAATACTTTTCACAGTTTCCTCTTTTTCCACAGGGACCATAAAAATGGTCCATAAAAAACGGCTTCTTAGGTTCACCTCCTCCTGACCCTTCCTTGTAATCGCGGTTATAGTACAAAACCTTTGTGATCATTTTTATTTCTCTTTCCCTATTTTTTTAGGGGCAGCACTCTTTAAAGCCCATCTGTGTGAACACGCTTGTAGTCTCCCTCTTCGTGACCTTTTCACCAGATTTTTTTCTAGCTTTTTTCCTTTCTCGATACCGGGCTCGACTTGTCTGAAAGTGCCCTCCATGTCTTCGGTGACTCTCTTAAGTTTTTTAATTTCATTTTTAATCACAGCCTTTGTGTTTGTATGGTCAGACATTAGTTTTAATAAATTATTTGTAACGCTGCTCAGTTTCTCCATTGCTCTTCCCATATGCATTATGTCAAAGCTTTCCTATTCCTCCGTAGGTATTTTCTCTCCAAGTAGGAAGCTCCGTCGCAAGGTTGCCTCTCTTGTGAGATCCTTCTTGGTCATGTCCCATCTCCTTCCTCTTTTCCGTTTCACTGAGGACTGTTCCTATGTACCCTTCACTGCTATTGTACACCATATTATCGCATTAATAGCTTGTTCCAATTTGTTTCATAGTTTCATTGTTTTGTTTCTGTTTTTTATGCTTGATTGATGCTTGTCCATATAATTCCCACGAATTAGGACGAAATTGTATTGTCCGGCAAGCAGTGCGCCCTTACCTACGCTAAGGCTTTTGAAAATTTACGCATTTTTTACGATTTTGCCGAAACTACTGGCAACATTGTAATAAAATTTTATACGAATATGTTTTGGAAGCTGATACATCCCATGACTTTGTTTTTATATCTGATTCTTATAGAGGGCGCTAGTTACACGGATCGTACTAAATATTAGTCAATATAACTTTTTTAAAAGTATAATTATTACTTAATCAAAATTTCAAGTAAACTTAAACATCGTTCATCGTTCACCGTTTTCGAAATATTTTGATTTGAAGATTCTGAAGTAATAATTGATGCTGGTAGTAAGGATAAAGTTCTAATAGGTATACCTCTATTGTCTCCAAGTGTGCCATGGAAATCTGACATTTATTGGTTGTTATGACGATAAATTAACAATAATTAGAGTTTTGAAACCTTGTTATTTGTAAAATCAAATCAAAATGTACTCAGATGTTGAATATACCGACATGTTATTAACCTTAGGCGAATGTTAAGGATGTTCTAGTGCAGCTGTGACACGTTATGCAGAAAAGTTTCCTAGAATAAACATACCAAGTAAAAAAACATTTAGAGCCGTTGAACGACGTTGTCGAGAAACTGGGACTGTGAGACCAAATCAAATAAATTCTGGTAGACCAAGAACAACAAGAACAATTAATAAAGAAAATAATATTTTAAATTTACTTGATCAAGATCCAACAGTTAGCGTAAGGAATATAGCAAGACAAACAAATACTTATTCTTCAAGTACTTGGCGAATACTGAAAGAACAACAATTACATCCTTTTCATTACAGATAAGTCCAAGAGCTCTTGCCAAATGATCTACCGGATAGAGTGGATTTTACGCCTTTATGCGACAAGGTATGTTTAACTCCCATAATGCACACTACTGGTGTGATAACAATCCACGGGTCAAAAGGGTATCACATTACCAACACTTATTTAAAGTTAATGTTTGGGCAGCAACTTTAGGTAACAAATTAATAGGTTATCATATTTTACCTGGAAATTTAAATGGTGATATGTATCATGATTTTTTAAACAATTCCTTATTCGAGATTTAGAAGATTTAACGCTAAACGAGCGAATATCTTTATTTTTTATGCACGATGGAGCTCCACCACACTTTGATAGAAGGTGTCGTAATTGGTTGAGTAATCATTTTCCGAATCGATGGATTGGTAGATGTGCAGAATCTCCGATTCATTGGCCTCCTCGGTCATGCGATTTTAACCCTTTGGACTACGCAGTTTGGTCGTATATTAAGGAAAAAGTCTATGCTACAGACGTAAATTCACGCCAAGAATTTCAAGAAAGGATTCAACGTTAATTTAATGACATCATAGCTGATCCTCTACCGTTTAGAACGTTAATGGAATCTTTAGAAAAAAGAATAGACTTGTGTATTCGCGAAAACGGAGGGCATTTTACACACTTACTGTAATTGAATTTTATTTTATGTTCTTAGTCATTAATTTAATTTTCTCCTTGTGAGTTTTGTTTAATTACTAACTATTTTATACCAACATCCAATATTACTTCATAATTTTCAAATCAAAATATTCCGAAAACGGTACACAGTATCGAGTTTTACCAAGAGTACCTTTTTCGTGTAAAATTGAATGATGTTTAAGTTTTCTTGAAATTTTGATTAATAATTATACTCTTAAAAAGTTATATTGACTAATACTTAGTACGGTCCGTGTAACTAGCGCCCTCTATGACAATCAGATATAAAAACAAATTCATGGGATGTATCAGCTTCCAAGACTTATTCGTTTAAAATTTCATTACAATGTTGCCAGTAGTTTCGGCAAAATCGTAATAAATGCGTAAAATTTTTTTTTCAATGCCCTGTATCTTGAAAACGGATGGCGTTACAAACATTTTTTACTAAGCAAACCCCAATTATTTTTCAGTTTTTCACTTACCCTATAGACGGTGTTACCTTTTTTTGAAACACCCTGTATAATCCTCGATAACAATAAACATGTATATAATTCTATGAAGTAAAAGGTGTATTAGGTAAAGATGAAGAGCAATCGTAAATATAAATTTCTGTCTATTTGGTCGTCATCAGTATGGAGTTAATTAACTTGTGATGAAATCTACGGGAGCCAAGTGATCAATTGTGGAAGTACTGTCAAAAGTCCCTGCATTCCAGCCTGGTGACTCTTCAACAAAGCTACGGAGAAAGCTACAGCTACTTGAGGAAAGGATCACTCAAAATTAGTATTACCGATTGTGCCAATAATGTGAAAACTTTTAAACATAAAAAATAATGTTAATAAATGCAAAACATAACTGGCGAAAAAATCATTGGCAACTCAGTAGAAAAGAAAGATCTAACAGTATTCTCACAATTGGTCACATGGCTCCTGTAGATCCTTTCCCAAGTTAATTTGCTCCTTTTCTAACTTGGCTGTACTGTAGTAATGACGATGGAATAGTCAAAAATATGTTTTTACGATTATCCTTCATCTTCATCTATTTTCTTTTTTACTGATTGACGAGTTTAGTCAATGATTTTTTTCTTATCTATAATATACTAGCTATAATGCCTTTTTATTTTTAAAACATTTTAGCTTTCCTTTATTTATGTAGCGCAATATTTCGTGGCTATGTAAGTTATAGCTCTAGAACTTGCTCGTGGTTGTGTTGGAGTCATCAAGTCTCATTTGATTTTATTTTATTTCAGATCTTAATTTATTACATATTTATAGGTACGCTGTAGTTGGGGTTTCTGATTTGAGAGATGAAAAGAAATTCATACCGATAAAAGAAAAGACACTGCATGAGAAATACGACACCCTATATGCTGTATTAGATTATGATATAGCAATTGTTAAGGTTGGTAGTCCTAAAAATAATATAATATAGCTTGTCTACTTTTTCATAATTTTCACTTTTTATTAGTTACCTATATTTTATTTTTTTAAAATTGGCTACAGTATTTTTTTATTCTCTTTTTATAGAGATCGGTATAACGCGACACCTCATTTAAACTAGAATTTAATTCTCTATTTAATGACATTACATTTTTAACTAAAATATTTTTTTAAGGGTACAAAAACAATTTTTTTAATTTAAATTCATCTAAATTACAACTAATGATTTAATTCATAATTTACTTTAAAGTAACCAAATTATGCATAACAATTATTTTAAAGTAAATGTTCTAAATGCCATTCATCGGTTCCTGTTTATTTAAAATTTAAATTTAAATATTTAAATAAAAATAAAATTTAAATAAAAAAAAAATTAAAAAAATGTGTTCCAGTGGAAAATACATAACCTCTTTGTATGCAACAAACAACAAATAAAATTGCAGTAAACATTGTGGTCCAGATGATACACCAACTGAGTTGCTGAAACTAATAGAGAATGATAACATAAAAGTAGTAGTAAGACTTTTTAATTCAATATATAACACCGGAGTGATTCCCGCAGATTGGCTGAAATCCATCTTTATCGCAATACCTAAAAAACACAATGCGAGAAAATGCTCAGAATATCGATTAATTAGCCTAATGAGCCACACTCTTAAAATCTACCTCAGAATACTTCACAACAAAATTAGACGCAAATGCGAAAAAGATCTTGAAGATACCCAATTTGGTTTTAGAACCTATTACAAAAAGGCCGTGACCAAAGAAAAGATGTATTTGCATGTGTCGTAGACTTCGAAAAGGCATTCGATAAAGTACAGCATGTAAAATTAATGCAAATACTGAAAAATATCGGAATAGATGACAAGGATATTCGTGTCGTTAAAAATTTTTACTGAAATCAAACTGTTATCGTAAATATTGGTGATAACTACACCGATGAAATCCCCGTCTAACGAGGAGTCAGACAAGGTTGCATTTTGTCGCCAACATTGTTCAATATTTATTCGGACCAGTTATTTAAAAAGGCACTTGAGAGACAACCATATGGAATAAACATCAACGGGGAACTCTTTAATGTGATTAGATATGCAGACAATAGAGTAATTCTATCAGATAATATTGAAGGTCTTCAAATTCTGCTTGATCGTATTCACGAGGTAGGAGAGGAAATGGACATTAAAATAAACTCAAACAAAACCAAATTTTTAGTGTTTAGTCGTGACCCACATCCCGATGCAAAGCTTCAATTGAACGGAGTTTAATTTGAAAAAGTTCACAAAATGACATATTTGGAAACTGTGATAACGCACCAACTAGATCCAGACATAGAAATAAAACGTAGAACAGCAATGACTAAAACTACTTTTATAAAAATAAAGTAATTTCTTTGCAATAACCATCTCAGTTTAGAACTAAGGCAAAGAATGGTTAAGTGCTATTTTTGGTCTGTACTTTTGTATAGTGCAGAAGTGTGGACGCTAAAAGTATCGATTATGAACAAAATTGAAGCATTGAAAATGTGGGTTCATAGACGAATGCTGAAGATACCTTGTACAGTAAAAAAAACTAATGAAGAAGTACTAAGGAGCGTTAACAAAGACAGAGAACTGCTAAAGACTGGTAAACATAGAAAAATGTCTTATCTGAGACATATAGTAAGGGGAAGTCGATATAAAATTTTACAACTGATCCTTAAGGGTAAAATAGAGGGCCGTAGAAGTGTAGGAAGAAAACAAGTTTCTTGCTTAAAAAACATTCGTGAATGGACTCAGATACCAAATGCAGGATAATTATTCCATATTGCAGAAGATCGAGAAGCCTTCGCAATGGTGATCGCCAACGTCGGATAGTTCTGATATAGCACGCGAAGAAGAAGAAACATTGCAGGCATTACAGGTATGTAATTCTTGATATGTACCAAAAGTTAGGTTATAGGTTAAATTTATACTTTTTATTGTTCCTAATATAAATTATTTTAAATAAAATATTTCAAGTTATGCCGAATATGCTGTGTTGTCTATACATATAAGAGTGAAATTATTAGATATTATCGATGTTTTTTTATGTTTCAGAACCAACTAAACTCAATAATAGTTCAGCAGTGGCAGTAGTGGAAATCAACATAGAATAGCTACCAAACTACATGTAGATGCTGAATCTACAACATATTCACTTGACAAATCGAGTCATACTGGATCACAACCTTTTTGAGTAGAAAGTGATAATAATTACATTGCAAGTAAATATGGAAGTAGCAAGAATGAAGTATTAGTAAAAAAAACCAAGATGGAAAAAAGCTAATCCGGAAAAATGGAAAAAGAATATTAGCAAACAGATCAGGTCGTTATGTTTACCCTACATAAGCCAGACTGGTATTAAAACTCCAAAGAAACCACAAAAAGTCAACTGACAAAACTGTAAAATTCAATATTAAACCAGTTTTTCTGATGGCGAACGTTACTAGTTATGCACAACTTTCTTGAAGTTGCAGTATCAAAGGCAAAAGAACTTAATTGTATCCTGTGTTTCGTAAACTAAGCCAAAATATCGAAGGGTTATTACTGGTACAGGTTAATCAGGAACCAAATATATAATAATGGATTGTTTGCTACTTTAGATAGCAGAGGTTATCACGTTCCATCAAACAAAGCACCTGAAGACATGATTGTAATAGTTGGAGAACATATTGCCAGCTTTCCTGCAATCGACTTCTATTATTGCAGGAAATCATCAAAGCGTCAATATCTAGATCCAAGCTTATCAATGTCCAAGATTTTGAGTTATACGTCAACAAATGCAAAGAAAATGATAAACAATACGTTCCAGAAATTATTTTCCGTCGTCCATTTGGAAACGAGTTTAATTTATCTTTCTTTCGACCTAAAAAGGTACTTTGTGTAGTATGCGAGAAACACAAAAAGAAATTAATATCAGATGAAGATGCAGATACTAATTTTATTCATACAACTTTTGATCTACAAAGCGCTTTAAATATTCTAACGTCGGACGTTTCTCAAATGTATTATACGGCACCTACAATTTAACTATTTATGAAGCTGCGAAACCCAATAATGCTAATTGCTTTTCTTGGGCAGAATTAAATGGTCAAAGGGGAAGTTGTAAAAAAGAAACTGCTTTACTCTGCTGGATTAAAAGTATTTTAACTACTGTAAAAGAAATTAGTGATTTTTCTGACAGCTGCAGCGAACAGAATCAAAATCAATTTATTTCTTTTTTCTTTCTGTATATTGTACAGTATCTGTACTGTATCTAACACAATTTCTTGAAAAGAGGCACACATATATGGAGGTGGACTCAATCCATTTTGCAATAGACAGGGTAAAGAAAAATTTATGCATCTTTACACAAAATGACCTTTTAAACGTTTTCCGACTTGCACGTTCCAAATGAAATATTAATAAATGTTCCAGTCCATATAACGTTCACGAATTAAGATTTTCTGATTTCATTTACTTAAAAGCTCTAGCATTATAACATGATTAAAAATAAAAAGAGAGATGGAAAAGGCAACAAGGATGAATGGTTAAAAATGAAATGCATGAGGTATGAAAAGGCCAATCCAGGATGTATTCTATTTAAATACAGATCTTCAGAAACAGAGTTTCATGTTCGAGTAGCTGGAAGACTGACATCTACCGCTATAGATCTACAACCAACATATAAGTCTTTACCAATTACAGAAAAAAACATACACAGTTTGATTAAACTCGTAACAAGTAACATAATTGCGCCTGAATATCACGATTCGTACAAGTCTGTACCTGTACATAATAAAGCGCTTGAGAGAGTTCCAGAATCAACAGTGTCAGATTTAGATAGCGATGTTATTTAATTTTATTGCATGAAACTAATAAATCTCTATACTACCTACCATATTTTATTGTTCTTTTTATCGGTAGTTACGTTCGTTTGGTTAAAGTTTGTCATATCCTAGTCATATTGGTTAATTTTATCTTATATCGGAAGTGACTAAGTCATATTTGTTGCATTTTTGTTAGTATATCATAAGAGCTATTTTGTTATCTATTGTACTATTTGCTCTAGATGTCAAAGCCCAGAAACACAAAACCTTGTGTGCTGGAACATACGATCTTTTTCGCTTCATTTTCCTCTCTTTTCTGAATTGCCGTTCAAGTTTAGTTATTTTACTTAAATAGTGTAAATGCTTTACTTGAATGCCCTTCAAACTGAATACTTGATTAAAGTTACTTGTACAAGTAAGTTGAATGGCTACTTGACTGAATATGAACTAGAAATAATAGAGTAAATTGTACACTAATTTCAGTGTTCTGCATTGATGATATTGTTACAAACCAAATTTTGTCACTAGGGCATGCACAAAAGTGTTAAATTTTTTTTGCACTCTGCATAAGCAAGGTAAGTGATATATTAACAAATTGGAATGTGTCCAATTTTATCGTATTCATTAGTAGAAATCTTGGGGAAAGTACAAACTTGATTAAAGGTATAGATGTCATAAATTCAGCAGTAGAAACAATAAGCAAAGCTATTATGGGAGCTTATCTTGAAAACTGTCAGGAAAAAACAAAGAAGAATACAGGCATACAGTCTGATAGAACAACGGCTAAAATAAGCTTACTTACTGCCACAAGCTGAGAACAGAATGTCAATTGCTTATATACTTCTTTAAAATACGTCAAAGGCATAACACCCAGACTGGCAAGACTGTTCAAAGATATCACCAATTTAAAAATGGCCCTTAAAACCTCATTAACTTCAAGATCTATATTTTCTAAGGTTAAAGATAAGAATGACATTGAGAATTGTTCCAACGTTGTCTACCAGATTCCTTGTATTAACTGTAATTTGGTATATGTGGGACAAACCACATGCAGTCTAGGTAGTCGCTTAATTAGTCACCGGAGTGATAGCAGATTATACCCTGAAAGATCTGTTCTTCCAGAACATGTTAACAAAGAACATCATAAAATGAGTTATGAATCATTCAAAGTTTTACAGATTCCAACTATAAAAAAGACTGTTTTTAGAAATGGCATTCATCTCTTAAAATGCTAATGTAATGAACAACAGGAGTGACATAAATCAATTAAGTACTATTTACTCCTACCTATTATATATTTGGATAACCATTCTCAATCCAATGATGTTTCAACAAGTTATTCATTGTAAAGTTTCCAGTTTTTAGTCTAAGTTAATCTTATATTATTCAGTATACAATTTTGATTTTTAAACTTCAATACAACCTGTTGGTAAATTTTGATGTGTAACAGTGGTAGTACTACAGAAGAAAAAGAAAATAAGAAGAAGTAGAATAAAATAATTTGTCAATTTTGGCATTTTACACCATGTATTTATTATATTTTTTAATATTTGATTCAATCAATAAGTGGTGCGTAATTTTGTCACTTGTGAGTAGAACATCCACGATAGACAAATCTTATTAACGTAAATTTTATAACCTTTAAACTTTTTGATATATATTTCGTGAATGCTGTACTAAGAGTCGCACTTTATTTCAGTTTTTCCTGATGATGAAAATAAACATTTTCGAAAGATTGAAAATATTATATAAATATCCTACTGGAACCAACAATTATATGAAAACTATGAACCTGGTTTGCAGGCTGCACCTACAATATCGTGGACTACAGTCCGAATATCATAGCTATTCGGACTTTTGAGACGGCTGCTCTGGAAAGTTCATTTGATATACATCCGTACCACTTTCTCAAGTTGCGCAGCCATGACATTCTACGCCTCCCTATGTTTCTCTTTTCTTGAATCTTTCCTTGCATAATCAGTTGGAGCAAGGTGTATTTCTTTCCACGTGTAATATGTCCGAGGTATTCCAATTTTCTTGTTTTGATTGTATTTAAAATATTTACTTCTTTATTCATCCTTCTCAGAACCTCGTTGTTTGTAACGTGTTCTGTCGATATTTTCAGAATTCTTCTATACACCCACAGCTCTAATGATTCCAGTTTTTTTTATTGATGTCAAATTCAAGGTCCAAGATTCCATTTCATAAAATAAAGTCTAAAGAACATAGCACCTCGCCAACCTAACTCTTAGTTTCAATTTTAAGTCCCTTGTACACGTCCCTTTTCATTTTGTTGAAATTTGCCGTAGCCTTTTTTATTCTGATTTTGATCTCCTGAGTGTAATCATTTGTGGAGTGAATCATTCTTCCTAGATATGTATAATTGTCCACTTGTACGATGTTAGTTCCGTTTATTAGAAGATTTTTGTTATTTTTTGCGTTTTCGATATTCTCATAAATTTCGTCTTCTTAACATTCATTGTTAGACCATACTCTTTTCCATACCCCGCTATTCTGGTCACCAGTCTCTGAAGATCTTCAATATTTTTGGCTAAGATCACAGTGTCGTCCGCATATCTAATGTTGTTAATGGAAACTCCATTTACCTTTATTCCAGCTGTTTCACCCTCAAGGGCGTTTTTCAGGATCTCTTTAGAGTAGGCATTAAAAATAATTTACGACAATACGCATCCCTGTCTCTTGTTAACACGTAGGTGTTAACATCTAATGGTAACACGTACTTTTGCTCTCTATTTATAGTATGCATTTGATATGATCCTGAGGTCGTTGCAGTCGATCTTCCTTTATTTTAGGACATTTATTAATTGTTTATGTCGTGTTTTACGAAAGGTGCGAAAGAAAAAGTAAAACGTAGAAATTATTGGTGGACAGAAGGTTTATTAGAACTGGTAGAAGAAAAGAAAAAACTGTATCTCAAATGGTTAGCGACAAAAGATGAGGAAGACCGAAAGAACTATAACATATACAAATATATAGTGAAAAAGGAAATTAAAAAAACAAAAAACATAACCTGGGACAACAAGTGTGCAGAAATAAGCTCAATGGTAGGAGGATCTAGGTCCAGACAAGCTTGGAAAACTATCAACAGTCTTAGAAAAAATACAAACGAAACAAAAAAAATAAACCCCATAGACATAGAAAGATGGAAAAATTATTACGAAAATCTATTAAATGAACAACGTACACAGTTTCTAGACACATTTATAGATAGAGTTAAAATGGGGTTAAATGAAGTGGCGATGATTACCGTAGAAGAAATAAAAAACGCATTACAAAAAAATGAAAAATAATAAAGCTCCTGGGCCGGGTGATTTACCTATCGAGTTATTCAAACATGCCACTGCAATAACATTAGAATTGCTTTGTAAAATGTTTAACAAGTGCCTACAAGGAGAAAGTATCCCAAGAGATTGGAAAGTCTCGTACATAAACTCCATCTACAAAAACGGAAACAGGAGTGACTGCAGTAATTACCGAGGTATCAGCATTACGTCGTCCACTGGCAAACTGTATGAAAGACTTCTGAAAGCCAGAATAGAAAAAGAAGCCACAGAGATCGAAGAACAAAGTGGATTCCGACCAGGGAGATCTTGTGTCGACAATGTATTTACTCTCAAACATCTAATAGAAAAGAGATTAGCAAGAGGACTAGAACTTCATGCCACTTTTATAGATTTTCGTAAAGCGTTTGACTCCGTACCACTGCAGAGACTATGGACAACATTGGAAAACGCAGGTATAAATGCAGTATATATAAATGCCGTGAAAAAGCTATATCAAGATAACCAAGCTTATATTAAGGTTGGAAACCAAATTTCCAAGGGTTTCACCCAAACAAAGGGTGTCAAACAGGGCTCTTGCCTCTCCCCAACCCTATTTAAAATATATCTTGGTAATGCTTTAAAATATTGGATGAGAAAATGCAACCCAATGGGCATATGGGTAAATGACACTCCGATATACACAATCCTCTTCGCAGACGACCAGGTAGTTCTTGCCGAGGACCTACAAGATATGACGTACGAATATCTCGGAGTTACACTAAGCGAAGACGGGAGAGACGACAAAGATATAACAAGAAAAATAGGAAAAGGAAAAAACATGATAAAAACACTACATTGGATCCTGTGGAATAAAACTTTAACTAAGAAAACAAAGAAAAATATATATCAGGCTATGATTCAGCCGGTGTTGACGTATGGGTCAGAAGTGTGGGTCTTTAACAAGAATATGTCACAAAAACTCCTCTCAACGGAAATGATGTACTGGAGAAGATGTTCCGGGTTAACTTTGTTTGACCACATAAGAAATGAAAACATAAGAGAGAGAATGAAAGTAAAGAACACAATAATGGATACGATAGCCGAAAAACAATTAAAATGGTATGGACACCTGAGACGGATGAACGAAGAAAGGATACCACGAAAGGTTTGGAACTGGAGACCTACTCAGAGAAATAAAAGGGAAAGGCTAAGAAAGAAATGGATATAAAATATTCATATAGAAATGGAAAAAAGGGGTCTTCAAGAAGGAGACTGGGCCGATAAGAAATTATGGCGATTGGGATGCGAGAAGCGACAAAATTAAAGTTGCAAACACTCGCTATATATATATATATATATATATATATATATATATATATATATATATATATATGTCGTGTTTTATCGAATGCTTTATTATAGTCAATAAAAATGCGTATATATCTTGATTGATTGACGTCCAAGCATCTTTGTATTAGTATATTAAGTGAAAATAGAGATTCTCGCGTTCCCAGGCCTTTGCGAAAACCAAATTGTGTATCATTAACGTCTATGTTCAGTTTGGTGATATAGTAAATAATAAACTAAATATCATTAGCGAGGTCCGAAATTACATCTTATGTAACCAGGAATGCCTTCAGCAAATCGGATTAACTTTATGTAAGAGACATCATAGATGTGCTGGATCGGTTATATAGGGTTGGCGTAGTTACACTCTGGTGATGGAGTTTCTTTTGTGTGGAGCATTCTGCACACCTCTTAAGACTATTCCACACTTGATTTAATAATGACCATTATGACGATTTAATTGTGGGATGGTTAACGTGCAAGTGTAAGTCTTCAAACCAAATCTGTAGTTGAATATTTGTCTGCTAGTTTCAATCTAGAATCTATTGCTTTGTAGCCATAGTTGTTATTACTTTGAAGTTGTTCAACTCTGCATATGAGTACCTTTCTTGATTTTAATGTATTGGTAATCAATATCTCTGTTTTGGCTCTAATCATTCTAAATTCATGCAGTAAAGCCTCATTTCTTCGGAAATCGGACCTAGAAGTTACATAGCACTGAAAGCTAGTATGTTCGTGTAGATTTGATGGTATCAGAAATCAGCTTCACTGTATTATTTTATTATCTAAGAATGAGTTTAGTGTGACAGCTGTTAATCCAGACTGAGGTGCAGCCACAGAGAATACTATGATAATAAATTAAGTACCTAATGCTGTTGCAGTGGCGCCCGAGGTAATACCGCTAGGGTTTAGAGTTTTTATTGCGATTTCTTATTTTGGTAGTGCTATTTGTAGTATTTCTGATACAAAAGGGTACGATCAAGTCTGCTTAAGTATTTTACATATTCGTTATGTCTAAGGTTGGTACTTCTAACTTGTTTATTTATATTTTCATGTGATGTTTTATTAGTAAAATCGGAAGTCCCAGTTTCACCTTTGTTGGGATTGGGCTTAAGTCTTTATTCCTTAAAATAATTGTATAGTATTCAAAGGTTGATAGGAGTGGTAGATGGAAGTAGATGAAAATTGGGGAGACACTAGTCTCTGGTGGCTAGCGCAATGCTTTATAAATATATCCTATCTGAAAGATCGAACATATAAAAAATGAATAGTAGAGGAGCCAGTAATGAGTCTTATCGAAACTCATTAGTAATGGGTTATGATTTGCTTATATCTTTTTTAAGAGAGACGAATATTTATGCTGCTTAGATTATTATTTTGACATAGGATAATATTAGGAATTCTTCTTTCCAGTTTCTTTTAAAACCTGCCTTTATGCAGGTTGTTAATGTCAGTACATTAATTGCCCAATATGGGCAGGTTTAAAGTCCAACTGTTCTATTGCTGGACAATAAAATGAAAGTAAATATTATAATTTTATGTAAATTGATCTATTGGCGTTTTAATCTGTATTAAATATCCCTTTTACTCTTTTTTCCTTAGCTATGGTAAATTCTTTTCGACTTTAGTTTAATTTTTATTTCACTAAAGATAAAATTAGAATTTTACTATACAAATTATTTAAAAATTATATTAATTTTAGTTGGAGAAGAAAGTTGTATTTTCACCCAAGATTCAACCTATTCGTCTACCAAAACAAGGCCTTCACGTACCAACTGGAACACCAGTTATTACTGCGGGTTGGGGATATACAAATGTAAATATATTAATGTATTAATTTAAAAAAATTTATTATTATATACATATATATATATATATATATATATATATATATATATATATATATATATATATATATATATATATATATATATATATATATATATATATATATATATATATATATATATGTATATAACAATAAATTTTTTACTATAGAAATACTAAATATTAGTGACTGTCGATATAAACAAACAACTAGTTTATTATAGCTGCAGTCAGAAGGTTGGTCGGGATGTTAAAGGCACTCTTTTGACTTTTTGTCTAGCTTTCGGAATTATTTTATTCTTTGTTCAAGACGCTGTATAATGTTTAAAAGAATATGCATATATTTACAAATTATCACAATTCGTAAGTGCAACTTACGAGTTGGTGAGATTATTTATAATAAGCTTTGACGCTCAATACTAATAACACAAACATAAAATGATGAATAAAATACATTTTAAAATTTTGGTAAGGATAGTAAAACTCTGTTTATTCTACGACATCTTTTGATGGTCTGTTTTAATTCTGATACATAGAGAACAAAAAGAAAAATCAATAAGATTATAATGTAATTAGGTGTTCTGAATATTGTATTTCCTTTCAAAATCCAGGAGGCTTATACTGGGTAATTTTTAATTTTTAAACCTGCCTAAATAGTATGCAACCTGTTATGCACACAGGTATATTGTGACGTGTATATGTATAGGTAAATATTTATTTTATTTTTGATGTTTTTCCAGTAAATAACAATAAATGTTGCTTAGTTTACCTATGTCAGATTTTTATTAATGCAAGCGAGACTAGATTTTATGAAACATATTTTCAAGAAAACACGGTTTGAGTGGTTTTTTTCTTTTACCAAAATACATAAATCTTCGAAATTAAACTCATGTTTCAAAGTTAAGGCATATTCTGTAAGTGCATACGCATTTATTTTATTGGTTTTTATGTCACTATGACGTGAGATTAAACTACTATGAAAATTACAAGATGATTCTCCGATGTATACGTTGTTACAATTGGTACAAGGTATAGAATAAAACGACATTCGATGACTCCTGTATTGTGAAAGGATCTTTTGTTTTTATGTATAACTTTGATACCGTTTTTACATGCTTAGTTATAATTTTTAAGCCATTAACATCTTTGAAAATGTTAATTAGCTTAGGTGTCAGAACTGAAATATAGGGTAAGGAACCCTTAGGCAAAGAGCCCTATATTAATTAGTTTAAATGTTGTCATTGTTTACAAACTTACTACTAGATGCTATTCTTAACATCATCAAAAATATCTGGAACAGCATCTCCATGCATACCAAGACCAGTTTAGATGTTTTCATAAGAATTTTAACATTTATATTTGACTCTTACATATTTTTTTTCAATGGTATTTTTTTTAAATAAATATTTAGCACTCCAAGGGGCAGCAAAATATTCCCTATACTGTGTAACTTTGTTTTGGATGAACTTATAACAACTTGTAAAGAAAAGATATCGTTTCACATACCATTTAATAAACGATATGTAGATGTTTTGATTTTATCGGTCCCTGAAAACAAAGTAACTGATGTTTTAAACACCTTTAACGCCCAATGTGAACAATGTGTTAAAGTTTACGGTTGAAAGAGAGGCTGATAGTAAGACTCCTTTTTTAGACATGTTTATCCATGCATGCATGTTTATCCAGTGATGGCATGCTAAGGACAGAGTGGTATCGTAAGCCTTGTTTTAGTAACCGTTTTATAAATTTTCATTCTCAACATCCATCTAGGATGAAAACAAATTTGGTTTTGGCCTTAACAACTGCGGTTATCAACTTGTCACACATCGAGTTCAGAGACAAGGGACTAAAAAAGTTGAGATCTATACTATCAGAGAACTTCTATCCCATAGGGCTTTTAAATAAACTCATTTCGTTCTTCTTGTTCTCCTCGTTCTCTTTTTCCTTCGCAATTTTCTAACAAAATTTTCATAATAATGAGGTCCGACAATTGACATTAACCACATCAGCAATAGTATCTAAAATTACTTTTGGTTCTTTACCCTACATTCCAGCTATGACACCTAAGCTTATTAACATTTTCAAAAATGTTAATGGCTTAGAAATTACAACTAAGAATGTGAAAACGATACCTATGTAAGTAATAAACAAAATTTACATCCTTTCACAATACAGGAGTCATCGAATGTTGTTTATTATATATCTTGTACCAATTGTAAAATAGTATATGTCGAAGAATCATCTCATGCACTTGTATGCCTGAGGATTCCTGTATTTTGTTAAAACAAAAAAAAATCATTCAAAACGTGTTTTCTTGGGAAAATATCTCATAAAATCATAATATCTAGTGCGTTTTACATAAATAAAAAGTCTGACATAAATTAACTGAGTAACATTTATTGGTATTTACTGAAAAAACATAAAAAACAAATAAATATTTACCCATACATCATAATACTTATGTATGTATAACAGGTTGCACACCATTAAGACAAGTTTAAAAATTAAAAACGACAAAGGGACTACTACAGAGTTGCTCCACATCCCCCATCCTGTTAAAAATATTCCTGAAAAAAACCCTTAAACCATGGAAGAAAAAGTACGAAGGAATGGGTAGGAATGGGTATACCAGTAAGGAACGAATATCTATATACGCTTAGTTTTGCTGACGACCAAATAGTGATCGCACAAGACGAGGCTGACCTCAGTCTTATGATATGAAAACTGGAGTAGGAATATACAAAGAATGGGATGGAAATAAACCTAAAGAAAACTGAATACCTAACAACGGAGAGTACAGAAATAAAACAGCTGGAAATAGACGAAGGTAAACAAATCAAAGGAACAGAAGTATTTAGGTTTCATAATATCAAACAAAGGAACAACGAAGAAAGATATAAAAAATAGACTAGGATAAACAAGAGACTGCATACGAAAATTGAACCCGGTACTATGGGATAAGAACATCAGCATGAAAACAAAGAAAAAAATATATAATACCATGACAAGAAGTATCCTCACTTAGGATACCTTTTTCCACGGGGTGTGAAAATTGGACAATAAATAAGAAAACCAAAAACAAAATAAGAGCAACAGAGATGGAATTACTAAGGAGATATATATATATATATATATATATATATATATATATATATATATATATATATGTATATAAAAATTAAAAATTACCCAGTAAGTGAGTGAGCCTCTTGGTTTTTGAAAAGGAAAAAGGAATAAAATATTTCCGAAAGCCAGAAAAACAGTCAAGTGTGTGTTTCTTTAACATCCCGTCCAACCTTCTAACTATATATATATATATATATATATATATATATATATATATTATATATATATATATATATATATATATATATATATATAACGATCTATATTTTAATATAGACCATTTAAAATGGATGAAAACTGTTAAATCGTTATATTGCATTTATTTTCTAGATATCGGAAGGATCCGATGAATTAATGGAAGTCAAAATTAATATCGTTGACTGGGAAACATGTAAAAAAACGTGTTAGAAATATAAGCAAACTTACAGAGAGGATGATATGTGCAGGAAATCGAAACGGAGGAGATTCATGCGAGGTAATAAATTAATTAATTAAAACTTGTATTAGCGCAGTCGTCAGATATGTGACGCCTAAAATTCATACGAACAAGCTGAATTTTGCTGAGTATTAATATTCGGATCTCAAAAAAGATCGAAAACCTCCTCGTAGTGGGTAAAAAAGTAAAAACTAGAATTACCAACAATACGTAAGCAGTAAAAAAGAAAATTTCAAATGAAAAATACAGCTCAGATAATTTTGAACAAAAAAGTTTATTAGCACATTTTGCATAGAACAAGCCGTTCTCTCAGAAACAACACTTAAAGCGACCGCTGACATTGAATGTCAGTTCCGCGAGTGAAATTAGTTTCAACTTGACGGTAAAAAATCAATATCTTTTAATTAAAGTGTCTTATTAACAAAAATCAAAATGTGTTTTAGAGTTAAAGAGTGTAGCTTTCTTATGTGAGTAATGTTTATATTTTGTCGCAAATAAAGTCAGATTCTATAAACCTGTTCTATATATAAACTTTCCACGATTTTTGTCATTGTTTACGATTCTTGTGGGATCAATAAAATTTATTATTTTTGTGACCGGTCGTAGTGAAATTTTCACTGTTTGTGTTTTTCCAAGATAGTGATGGGTGTTATTTATAGCTGAAGTAAAGTACTTTTAAAAAACGAACTAGTGTAATTAAAAAAGTGTTTTTTGAAACATTTTAGATCGTTTGTAATTGTGAAAATTTAAATTCAGCATTTTTTACGCAAATTTCAAATAACTCACATTTGTTGCTAAAACTCAAAACTAAAATTTCATGCTATAGGTGTTGTAGACTAGCTTCTAGTTATAGAAACTCCATAATGGCTGGTCAATGAAAGGGGTACATTATATTGATCTCATGAGAATAATGTTGTTGTTTGTTAGTGTACAAATGACTGCGGACACTAAATCCATTCGTACTCATTTTTTCATTAGTCATTGTTTCCTATACGATCTTATACTAAATTCCTACTAAAAGTAATCCTACTATTACTATTATGGATCCCTAATATATCGCCTCTTTGCTTCAATAAGGTGTTAAAATAAGGTGTTAAGTTTTTTTTTGGCCTTAGGTACAAGACCTATTTAGCCAGACAATATAGGTATAAGAATATAGAATACATAAAAACAATCCTTCAAATTAATAACAATTTCCTAACCGTTCGTTCATTCGCACCACATTCACTCAATTTACTAACCTTCCCATTAAAAACACTATTGTGTGACTATACAAAAAGGATTGAACAGGAACACACGCTTCACGCTAAGGTGCCCTTCATAGCGACTTTTTTGTAACAAACAATACAGGCAACGGTTAAAGGTAAAAGACAATGGGAAATACAACAACTAACGTCCTACCATTTCGGATTCACACAACAACACTG